TTAAAATCTAGATCTAAGGAGACATAGAATTAGTCATATCAAGTGCATCACTGATCTTCAAAAACTGGAAGGCAGATAAAAACATTAAAATATTGTAAAAATGAGACTAATATTTTAATAATGGTTTAAATTGAGTACTGGGGTTTTCTCAGACAGTTTCTAACTTAGCCATATAATCAAGTACAACACGCCTCACCCTAAGATGCAGCACAAGGACCTGAGTGTACTTTCCCTTTGATTTGCTAGTGGCAGTTTAGGTGCCACTATCACCACTCAAGGGTGTAACTAATCTCAGTGGCAACAGTTGTTTGCTTCTCCATCAACACTACTCCCTGCAAGACTTGGGCCTTCTCTGGAAGCCCAGATTGAAAAAGGAGGATTTGGTTAATTTTAAGAAAGAATAAATTCAGGCCCTCGGCTTTAGCTTTTTTCATCCCATTACAATTTTGAACATTCTTCCTGTAAAGTCACCTTTCATCCCATTACAATTTTGAACATTCTTCCTGTAAAGTCACCTTCCAAGATAAAGCATCCTAAAATTCATGCCTCTGAGTAGTTGTTACAAATCCCATAACTCACCATGAAAATTCCTAACTTTTTATGCTCCTTTCCTTTCACAGCCAGCCATTTAGCCTTTGAAGATATTTTAAAGAGGGCTATGGCTGCTGGAATGCCCCAGGTACCATCAGACTACCTTGAGATGCAAGCACGTGGAAACTGATCTAGTTGATGACTTCATTCTTTAGGAAGCAAATCTTGAAGGAGCAGGTCTAGAGAACAAGTCCTATGAGGAGAGGCTGAGGGAGCTGGGGTTGTTCAGTCTGGAGAAAAGGAGGCTGAGGGGAGACCTTATCGCTCTCTACAACTACCTGAAAGGAAGGTGTAGAGAGGCGGGGGTCAGTCTCTTCTCCCAAGTTGCAAGTGATAAGACAAGAGGAAATGGCCTTGAGTTGCACCAGGGGAGGTTTAGATTGGATATTAAAAAAAATTTCTTCACCAAAAGTGTTATCAAGAATTGGAACAGGATGCCCAGGGAAGTGATTGATTCACCATCCCTGGAGGTATTCACCAGATGTGTAGATGAGGGACTTAGGGACAAGGTTTAGTGGTGGACTTGGCAGTGTTAGGTTTATGGTTGGACTTGAACTTAAAAGTCTTTTCCAATTGTTTCTTTGCTGAGTTTGCAGTTCTATTTCAAAGATATTAAATAAATAGGATTGCTACCCTTTACGTGGAAGTTTATCTACCATTTTAGTTGATACTCCCATCAGCATTTCTTCCTTTATTTTTCCAATTATCTCTTTACCAAAACTAATTCTGAAATAATATCAGCTGAACATTGAAACACTGATAAAAATTAGAGAACCAAATTCTACAGAAAACATTAATATAGACAGATAGGTAGAAATCTTGCATGCAGTCAGTTGCTTGTAGCTGTAGCTATTCATAGAAGCATAGAACGGTTTGGGGTGGAAGGAACCTTAAAGATCCTCTAGCTCCAGCCCCCCTGCCATGGGACACCTCCCACTAGGTTACTCGAAGCCCCATCCGGGGAGGGGAGCATTTCCAGCAATGGGGCATTTCTGAAAATCTTTCCATTTTTCTTCACAAAAATTTGAAGATGTTTGCCCCAATTAAAATAAAAAGCATTAAATAGTTGAGCTAAGGCAGAAAAAATTGCATCTTACATTTAATGCATTTTTCTCCCCACTCCATCTCATTCATCTAGCTTAAAGTGCTGGTGCTCCGCCACGCAATGTTCCAGCGCACTATGACATTATCTCTCCTTCTGTACTTTTATCCATCTGTAGACTATAGTTCACACTGTGAAGCTCTATGCTGCAACATTTCTGGCCTGAAATAGACTTCTAAAAGCGTCTCAGTACCTAACACTTTTCTTGAACATTTTTTGAGTTTCTGAAAAATAGGTTAATGTAAAGCACTAGAGCGAATCATGGCTTGCTCTATTTTTCATAGGGTTCAAGCTGTTAATGCTGTTCTCAAAGTTCTTGCGTATTTTAGCACTTGTGTCTCCTTCACCTTCACAGAAAGGTCACCAGAGATTCAGCAGGCAAACGTCTAGCAAAATGGCAAAACGAAATGGGGCGATAATCCTACTGGACATCATAGTGGGTATTTATAACAGAATACATAAAGAAGCTCGAAGCTTTTTTTAAGGAGGATGTAAGACAGACTGGGTGTTGAAACATAATGGTAATGTTCCCTCCCTTCAGCCATCCCACAAAAACGCACAAGATGAGGTTTAGTGCTTACACCACTGCAGCAGCAGGATCTCAACCGCTGCCACCCAGAAGCAGCCAAATACAGCAACCAACGGCAGCTTCTGAGGGAGTAGCATCATTAAGAATGATCCCTGTTGTTATACATAGGGGGAGAATAAAGTGGTTGTTGACTGGTGGAAGTCATCACTCTGATGCAATGAAAAAAGGCTGAAGAATTGCTTAATAATGATCCCTGAGACACAAGAGACTTATTTTTTTTAATGAATCTGTGATGCTTTATAGGTCCGTTATCAGCATCTTGTATCAGCCTACACTCTCCCTCAGTTAAGAGTCAGCAAAAAAAACAGCTACAAAAGCAGCTCACAGAAAGATTTATATGCTTAAGTATCATATATTTAACAATGATACCCAGTTTTTTACAAGATCAGAAGCAAGTACTGCAGACAACTAGGGATCACTCTTGCTCCTTCCAAAAAAAGAAATGTTCTGTATTCTATAGAACTGAAGATAGAGCTTGATCTTCCTTTAATGCTTTTATGATGGAATAAAGAAGAGAGAGTAATAAAAAAATATTTCACTAGCAAAATCACAGGGGCAAAAAAACCCCATAATCAGTCTGAAAGTTCTTAAGGACTTGGCAAGTTGGAATTAACCTCTGGCTAAAAAAAATATGGCATGATACAGCCAAAAAAACCCCCCAAAACCCACCCACCAAAACCAATAATCCAAACATTATTAAGTGTGCTCTTCTGAGGATCTATCAGACACATGTTTTTGCCACTCTTACAGTGTTCAGTGTAATCAGTTATCGTGGAAACTGATGTCTTGATAAATCAAAAAACTGAAAACCACTCAGGCAAATAGTCCCAAAAAGAATCACTACCAAAACTGTATTTGCCAAATACTCAGACATCATGCAAAGAAACAGACACTGTTAGCTGCCAAGCTTTACATTGTGTTTAAAGCTACTAGCAGTGTTATAAATCTACATTTTTCAGCTTTAGATCTGCATTTTCCCTACAACAGCTTAACAACTTAGTTACATTTCTGTAATTAGCCTTCCTTGGCTTATTTCTTCTAGTTTTCTTCTGCTTATATTCCCACTGAAGAGCATTTTTTCTAGTGTTTCTTTTGAGCACACATTCCTCTTTAAGATATTTAGCATTAATAAATGACTTCAGCCAGACCACCCTGCCAGACATCCAGAACAGCAAAATTTGGTTATGTTGGAAAAATCTCTGTCTGATTTCTTGGTACCAGTGAAAGAGTTAAAAACAACAGTTATGTTATCCATTAACAATTCTTTGGCTTAGTCTACATTATAGGTAGTAGCTCCTATAGTACTTTATTTCCTACATTCATTTTATCCATAGAACTTGACATTAGCTTAGTATTCACCTCAGGACTTTTATTTTTTTAACTGATTCCTGTCTTTTACCAAATGAAAACATAAGCCACTTAGGTTCTTTCAGACCACAGTTTTGTGTTCTTGATATCTTTCTCATTTTTTTTCAAAAGCAAATTATACAGCTTGAAATCACCTAGCTTTACTGAAACTAATCAGGTGATAATTCAGCAGATATTGTAGACTTTGGAAGTTTTTTATGCAGCTTATAGACTTTCTGCTCTTCTCCTGTAATTTTTCTTTAAAATTATGCTGTCCTCTTATTTGCCCACAAAATAATGAAATTATTTATGCAAAAAAAAACCCAAACCCAAACACCACATCCAGAAGAGGAGCTTTAGAAAATTCTAAAAGTTTGTCTGTTACTTATTTTGCAATACTGTTGAGTAGCCCTAGTCTGCAATTAACAATCCTCACTACAGTAAACATGCTCAGCAGAATAGAGATCACCCCCCAAGAGAACTGAGTGTAAATCAGAATACAATGGATGGACAAAGAGAAGGTAAAGGAAATCATAAGGTCAGTTAGCTACTGTGTACAGCTGTAAATAAAAACCACAACACAGCAGGACAGGAATAGTTAAGAGTTCCTAATAAAGAATGGATTTCATACCCATCCGGTTTTGGTATGTTTTTCAAAAACGCCAGCAGCATGCCTGAACTTCAGATCTGCCTCAATAACCTAGCTTACACATTTGTACTTGATTTCACATCTGCTGTTATGTTGACTCCAGACCATCTGTTAATGGTCTGTTAAACTGATGATTTGTGTTACTACTGTATCATTTCTCCCTTTACTCCTTAAATTCATTTAATCCTCTGGAAGACACCAAAAGCCAACATGGAACCATTATTTTTCCCTTTTTCTTTTTTTTCTTTGAATTTATTATAAGAACAGCAAGAACTTACTTCGAAAGGTCACTCATCCCAGATACAAGTTCTCATATAGAACATTACACATTAAACTTGGAAAGCACTGGGCTCTCAAATAAGAATATGCTTCGAGAGCTGTGAACGCGTATGAGTTAAGCAAACAATATTACCATGTGTAAGCACTTTCACAAGCAAATCATCAAATGGATAAAGTACTAACACATTTTTTGTATTTGAGCTTTGCTAGATAGTCATCAATCTCTCTATTAGTGTAGCTATACAACTATGGCACAGGATGACACTAGAAACAAACACAAAATATTAATAATTGCATGGCCCATTTCCTGCAACAAAGTAACAGACCTAAGCGTCTATTTCATAGAGGTCCAAGATTTAAAGTTGTTCTTAAATGATCCCTGGTCTAAAATTATATTTTTAAAATGTCCTCTTTCCTACACAGCAAAAGACTCCACAACGATAGGCGTTTATATCACCCTTTTTATTTTTCAGCCAGAAATACAGTTTCATAGGGTATTTCAATAAACAGTGGTGTTTATTCCTTAAAAACAAAATCCCCATCTCTTTGGCATCTAACCATATTCTGTTTTTCAAACTAAAGACTATTTTTTTTTACTTTCAAGGTCATTGTTCAATACATTAAATTTACACAGGTGTAGTTAAGTTTTAAAAACACACATCGGTTTGTTCCAAAGATCCTAATAAAACTAAAAAAAGATAACCAAACCAGAAAAAATGCAGACCACTGGGCTGCCTTCATTTACAACTGTGGAGTAAGTGACAGAATGAGAACTCCATTTTCCACAGTGCATGCACTAACTAGTGCTTCCTATTCATCATGAATGATACACAAACAAAATCTTAATTCTACCAGAAACAACTGATCAAATAATTTATGTTTCAAAACAACGTAATCTTATTTTTAACTTCTTCTGCAGAGGTCATCAGCCAAAACTATGTTACACGCTGCTTCAGTAAAAGATTGCAACTAAAAAAAAAACCAAGTCTAAAAACTATTATTCATTTGTAAACATAAGTTACTAAAATGTTTTGACTACATCCAGGAATACAGCTGTCAAAACGGCATTAGATGCCATGTTTGGATAAAAAATTCTTAAGTAACAAAAGTAAGCCAGTGTATCCAATCTACTCTGTTGAATAATCCAGGATCATCTCTTCAATGCTGATACAGAAATACTTCACTTGCACTCCATCAAAAAAAAAAAAAAAAAAATCCAGATCTCAAGTGTTCAGTGCCTCAAATCAACTGAATCTCCAAAGCAATACTACAGTTATTTTTCACCTTCTGTTACCATACATACAGAAATAATGAATTAAAATAAAAAATATTACTAACATACCAATGCACACATCCCAGTCTATTTATTGGAATCTGCAGTGAAACCTTGTTTGTGTCAAGACAATGTAAAAAGCAAATCCCACTAACAAAAAATATCTTCACTCCCCAAAAGATTCATTTTTAATAACCCAAATACTTATCCTGAACAAGTTTTACAGAACAGAGGAGGCAAAGCAATTACTTCCATGCAGAAACTAAAAAAATAATTTAGTAGGATTCAAGTAGCAAAGGTTTGTTTTATGAGTGAATCTCCCCCTCATCACCAGTGCAAGCACAGTTTGAAAATGTTAAATAAACTTAGGGTTAATAAAACCCTAAATAGCAAGTGATCCAGTTTAGCCGAGCTCACTTTCCTCTCCATGATGTAAAAAAATAATACATACATTTTACTGTAGAATACAGAAATAAAAAATAAAACCAGAAAACCTCCTAAACTTTAATACTTATCCAAGAGCAGTTTCTAACATCAAGCCAAAATTAGCAACAACCAAGCAGACATCACCAATTTTTCAGTGTTAAAATACTGTAAATGCTAGATCTAACTGTACAAAAAAAAAAACCCGAACAAACCCAAAGCCAAAAATCAAAAGCTTCTTTTTTTGTTATAAGGTGTCCCGAGAAATATCCACCAGTTGCAGCCAAATTTGCATCAGAAGCTCCTTGCCCAGGAAAGATTTCTCCCTCCAAGTATTTGTATCACATTGCATTGCGAAAATTCTATTCAAATAAATTACCTTCCAATATCATTTAGGTGATACAGCCACCTACAATGTGGACGGCCACATACAGAGTACAACAGTGGATTTTTGCAGCAACAGAGAAATAATCAGAAATTTGTTCTAAACTTGAGATGATAATTCATGTGTTATTTCTTGCAAACATACGGTCCCCTCTAAGGGTAAGGTGTTGGAGTTGGTATTGTAGCACTTCTGTGTCAGCAGGTTCCTTAATGCTCATTTTGTCTAAATTGAGGTAGTCCAGGGATTTTGAATGAGCCCTTTTACCTTTTAAAAGGCAAAGAGGCAGGGGACCATGAAGTGCTTTATAAGGTTCATATGGTAAAGCCTTAGTGCATTTATCCCCTGAGCTGGGCATCCGTCTCCTCCTCCTTCCATTTACTGCTGGGATCTCATATGGCTGATAGTACCTACTCCTAGTTTTGTACAAACGGGAGGAACGGGTAAGTCCTGAATCAACCTGTTTGGAGCACAAGTTTGGCCCAGATTCCCCTTTATTCTCTTCACTTCCCGTACACTTCTGGGCTAACTTTAGCAGCTCCTCTCCGGTCGTGAAGCCAACCAGGTAGTTAGAATCCATGTGGAGGATCTGATAGCCCGCAACTGTCCGTCGCATCGGTGAGCAGGGGGTACTGGAGCAGCGGGGCTTCTCTGCTTCCATCCTGCCCGCAGGACTCACCTCTGCAAGAGGCACAGGGAGGGTGGACAGGGTAGTTCTGGACTCTCCATTGATGTCAACTTCCATTTTAAACACAACGCTATCTTCCTAAAAATAAAACAGAGCTTGATCAGAAATAGAGCCTTTATGCAACAGAAGGAGTTGAGAGAAGACTGCAGAAATGAGATTTTGTATCCCCCAGAAGTCATGACTGGTACTTCTCTGTTCAGCCTTGTCTTACGCTCTGCAGGGTGTCAAACAAACAAAACAAAATGATCACCAAATGATCGCCTTTTAAAATTATCCTAGGTGGTTTTTTTTAACAAAAGATACCATAAATATACTCCTGATATTCTTAAGCATTAAAAGCATTATTCAGCATTGTACACAAAAAAGAAGCATCTTTCCAGCCCATTTTTTTCTTCCTTTTAGTCCATTTAATTCCTTATAGCCCATTTCCTCTGAGGCCATCTAGCTCCACATCCACTAGCACATCCACAGCAATTTCTCCCATATTCAGCTGTGTATTTGACAATTATATCCGTAAACAAAGCTTTTAAAAAAATGTTTCTAACAGCTACTACCTTAGTCAGGCACAACGATGAGCCAGACCTGATCTATTGAGGGTACTGCAATGCTTTCCTCTTCCAGAAGTGAAGATAGCTTGCTTTAGATTCAAAGAATGGCATCCTGGCTGTTCAACAGCTCTCTTTGCGGCTCATCAGCAAATCCCTCACAAAAAATCCCTATCGTCCTATTCACAACCAACCTAACAAACTCACACTATTTTATCCTAATGTATTTCTAACAAAGGAAACAGTATACTAGCATTTAATTAACATAGCATAAGACTCTTAAAAGCATCTTAAGAATAACCAATATTCTGAATTCTATGTTTATTTGGTTTTCTATTTCTTTTGGAAACAGACTATTTTGCTGTCACCTTTTATCCCTCACAACTATTCCAAATACATCGTTTGGTGCCTTTACAGATACAACTGTCTGCCATAAGCTATTACCATCTCTAACGTGGAAAGATAAGGTCAAGATCACAGCAAGTATACACCAGGGCATGACAGAACACAGAGAAGTCTTAACTCTTTTTAATTCTTTGTTTTCAGGACCATCACACCATTACGGTGAGACAACTAACAAAACTCACAAAAAAGAAAGGACACATCTGTTTCCAAATCCATGTCAGCCTTCACTGTCAGCCTCACCTCTGCTCTAAACAGAGGCTAATGGCTCTCAAGCCAATATAGTTGACAAAAAATTCTGCATAGATTTGTAATCTTTAAAGGAAATGAGACTCAAAGTAGAAAGGAAAGTTAGTATGCAAATGTCAAGCAGGAATGCAATTCTGAATTTCATTACAGGTGACTGTAAACCACATTCAGTAATGCTGCACAAATGAGACTGACTTAAAACATGCTCTTGTATGTTTGTGAACTTTTAAAGTTGCTACTTGCAGCCATTCTGAGGCTTAGGAGGTCACAGGCTGAGTAGCAAAGATGCAACAAACAAGGGAATACTTTATTCAAACTTCTGCAACTAGACACCCCCAAAAATCCCAGCAAGATCAATCTCTATTCACTTGTCTTAAAATAAGAGGGAAAGCTGTGTGCAGATCTAACTTGCAGAAGAAAATCATCTAGCCTCATGCAAAATTTAAGCCTACCTTGTTTCTGTCCATGGACTGCGAAGGAGTGTAAATAATGTTCCCATCTCTGCTTTCCTGCTTAGTCTCAAATCAACCTGTTGCTCCCTATGCCAATAAACTAGGAGTAAACAAAATCCCCACTGTTTTGATGAAGAGGATTTTATTTACCATGGACAGACTTCTATTACAAGAGGCTATTACTAATGGTCCTTTAGCCTTAAATGTCCTTTTTCAGGTCTCACAATCGTGGTTTTGTATAGCATAACTTTTACAGATACACTTCATCTAGTCAGCTTTTAAGCATTCTGAATTTAACAATACAGGTAACACAGCAAAAGCTAAATAAAGAATTAAAATACTGAAGCAAATGAAACACCAAAATTTTCCACTGAAAAAACCAGCCACATCAAATTGAAGAATATTGTCCATTATACTTAACTGACTTTAAAATATATTTATGCAGTCAATTAAAACTTTCAGAATAGAAGCAGCTGTTGTTTCCTACTTTAGCACCACATCTAGCAGAGAGACAGTAACTATGGTAGGTTCCAGCCACTGAGTTAAAGGTATTCATGACAATTCTTTAAATAAAAATTAAGTCCCTGCATCATCAGGACCCATGGTTACTGGAGGCATCACACAGAAAAATTTTGGGTTACAACTTTTGTCTCCACTGCAGTCTTAGCCAAGAAACCTAAATTTACTTAGCTGTTACTGTTCTTTTAATTCCTGATTTTTACCCTGCAGTTCAGAAATCTTTCCAGTAAATCTTCCAGAATGACAACCCGTTCTACTAGAAAGCTGAAATGATGCTAGAAAAAGTACGAGCAAGTGCTAGAAAAAGTATAGATAAAACAGTCATGCAGCAAGGTTAGAAATGAATCATTATCTACTCACATATAAACAGCAACAACAAAAAAAAACCCACCAAACCCAACAATCACTTGCCAGAGCAATACGTGCGCTCAGGAAATGGAGGAAGAGACGTTTTTATGCACTTTTTGAGTTAAAAAAGCCTTGAGAACTTGAAAGCAACACAAAGGCTCTTCCCAGAACACAGATTTTGTAATTAATTTACTTCTGTTTGAAAGAAATGTGTGCCCTGGTAACAAAAAAGCAATCAACTTTGAAGAGCAACTGCAAGCAGGAGAGAAAGAGGCAGGAGTTCATTCCCGTACAATTACCCCTCACTGGCTGAAAACAGCACAAAGGAAAATCAGAGCAGAGAAGCCTTCAAGTCAGCAAGCTCCAGCCTACTACTTCAGCCTGAAACTGCAGAACTTCCATTTCTGTGCTGCAGTGTGAAGAACAGCCCTAAAACCAAGAAATCCGACAGACACTCAAAAGCAACAGTAGCATCAGAAGCTGGTGCCATAAACATCTGAAGCTCAAGGGAAGAGCACTGCTAGCTGGTGAGAGGAATGACTGGCCAGCTCCACAGGCAGAAGTCCAAAACTCAGCATCTATGTGTTCAGCTGTTCTTTTCCAAGACTTTTAATGTGAGTTAGTCAAGCTGCCATATGGCTTCAACATGCTTTGTCTCCTTATCTGGCAAAAAAAGATAGAGAAACAGTATTTAGATGACTTCTATAAAAAAAAAAACTTTTGAGAGACTCATAGTATCTGCGAGCGTGGATACCATTACCTACAAACACACACTTAAAAATTTTAGACTGCATTTTCAGGCCATTTCTGCAGTTATAAGGCATTAGATGACCACTATCATGTTCATTGCTGTGTAGGGGTGTAAGCCCATCAGTAATTCTCAGCATCAATTACAATACTAAATAAACCCAGTACTTCAGTTTAAAAGTAGTGATCTTACTTCAGATCACAGCTACCTTGTCTTTTTGCTTCTCAACCAGAATTACAACAGTGACACCAATTCAAGACAATTTATAATTAAAGATGTACTACAGAATCAAAACAAGAAGAGAAACAAGATGGCTTTGTTTGTTTTGCTGCTGCTTCACATAAAAAAAAAAAAAGTATGGCACATTAAAAAGTATGGAAAGTAACTGAAAATAACAGTTACAAGATTCACCAATACACATCAGAAGTGCTTCCAGAACACAATTCACTCCATTAAGATTTTATCGATCCTCTTTATATTATAAAGCAGGCTCTGCATATAAACTAATCCAACTCAATCCAGCTAAATATTGAGTAAATTGTCTAAAACACAGAGAAAAAGAATAATGAATAGAAATACTAGGTAACTACTACAAATTGTTATATTACTTCAAAGAACATATTCATGTGCTTGGGATAGCTCTTAGAGAGTAAAAACATCGAAACCTTCACATTTTGCAAATATAAAGGCTCTCCAAATACTGAATGTTTCTCAAAGGTGTTAGATACACAATGATGTCTAACATTACACCACGCTACTATACACACTGTAGATCATTTGTTGTTGGAACGACCTCCCCTATATGCTCTTACTGGACTCAGTGACATCTTTTTGCTTGGTTTCCCCCCTGCCCCGATCATTTGTTAAATGTATTACTGTCTTTCTAAGAAGAGAAGTGTGACTGAAAAAAATACCACCTTTAATTACTCAATATTCAAAGAAGACTAAGAGGGGTTTCCCTTGACACTCCTATGCTTTGTAGAAAGTCTGCATTATTTTGAAACCATCACAACAAGTTGCTCTTGGCAAAAGAACTGGTTCTCTGTAGACTGATATTTCCATTGTTACCTATCTTCTCAACTAGAATATGAACTGATTTGAGAAGATGCCTTTCTTTTAGGAAAAGCATTAAATCTGTCCATCCAACTACTGCCTGCAAGTAGTAGCATTTGTTAAGAAACACAAAGAAACACAAGAAGCATCACTGGCAAAATGCTCGTAATTGCAATACGCAGATAACAGAACGGAAAGAAGGCAGAAGACTCAGTGATACCAACTCTGTACAGAGTCAGCCATATTGCACAGGGTTATCAAGCCAGTTTTGACACTTCCCCTTCTCTGTGCTGCCATTACTTAATATATATAATGCACTTAAAGGATACAATGGTTGTCTATCAAACATCAGGAGTAAGTAAGGTCACCCAGCACACATGAAGTACATGTAAGGCAAGCACACATTTTTAATTATTTTAATAGTTTCTGTGAAGGGTAAGAGTAAGGTCTACATCTTCCCCCTTGCAGTCTGAAAAGAAAAAAAATCACATACATGTAGTATGCACTCCTGGAAATTCCATCTTGTTTCTCTGTCACTAAAATACACTGTTGGAATTAGGTACTTACAAAGTTTTCTAAAAATAATTACTTCCAGTCTGCAACTAAAGAAAGCAAAATATTTAGTTGAGAGGGAAAAGATCAAGCTAAAATTCAGCTATAAACAAGTATGCACAAAGGTGTCAGATTTTTTTTTTTTCCTAGAGCTGGAGCAGCTAGGCCATAGACTTTGAGATGTATGCAGCTGGTAGGTTCTTCCACCACAAGCTGGTGATAGCACCGCATGTATTGCCAGAGCCAGATGGTTGCTTTCAGCCATACTCTTTACCTTCAGCTGAAGGGACTTAGACTAATGTTGCTTCACCACGCTCTTCAAGGTCCTCTATAATAGTTGTGTTATGCTTTACAGACTGACACCATGTTTGTAGAGACAAAAAAGAAAATTAAAAATCACAGAGTACATGAAAGGTATCAATACAATCTACACAAATTTTTCACCCACTCTTGCTGTTCCTTAGGAGAAATTCCAAACTACTCTAAGCTAAAGAAAAAGAGAATGGTGGTAATATTAAATTGTTGCATCACATTAAACAACATTCAGATGGCGTAAGAGCAAAGTTTAGCAAAGACTTTTTCTCAAAATTACATGCAAGAACATGAAATTACGCATAAAGCCTACGTTAAGCCTTAAGAAAACAGATTAATGGATATTACTGAATTAATAAAGCCAGTGCAGTAACTTCAGGATGTGATGCAAAACAACAGTCCACAAAACCACCAGCAAAAATCACAACTACAGAATAGTGTGGTGGTGGTGGGAGATTCTTCTTAACAGGTGAAGTATTAAGCCCTTCAGCAATCCAATATACTGGACAATAAATACCACAAGGCTTATACAGAACAAGAAATTATTAAATGTTTTGCAAAAGAAGATTAACTAAATTTCTAATACTATGTTCCTACTGCAAAAAGCAAGAACTACTTAACCAGTTTGTTAATAATTGTTATTAATGCAGCTTTAAACAAACAACAATTACAATCCAGGAAACTAGTTTTAAAAATGAGGAGAATCACAAATGAGTTACTGAGGAGCTACAACTGGCAACTCCAGCAACTGGCTCAGACCAGATCAGCATGACAGAGCATACAATTTACACAGAAAAAGAGACAGATGGAATTTCAAGAGTCGGTCCAGGCTAATGAATTTTGTATGAGCAGACTTAGCAAGCAGGGAAACTAAAAGAAAATGGTGGGAAAAAAGGCCGTTTAACTTCTAACATCTCTTTGCCCGGCAATATTAAATGCAAGTGTTTAACAGAGGCTAACTTTTCTGAAATATTTAGAGCCCTTTTAAATAAACAATGTTATTTCCTTGCTGGATAGAATCAGGGATGAACATTTCCCCCTCACTCCATCAGTAAACTGATGCTCCTGGACAGCATAAAGATAGCTGTTTACCAACATTACCCATCAAAAGATGAAACAGTGAGGCACGTGTAAAAATGCTGATGCAACTTGTAAAATAAATAACTTTTATTCTTTTGCTAGTTAGTAAGTTAAAAGGAATGTTTTCTTTGTAATTGCATTTTATTTCTCTGCATTTTTGATTTTCATCTTTTCACCAAGCAAAATCTAAGTTTCATTTTCAAAGTCCTCTCCAGTTTCAGGTTGGCCCACTTGGACAAAAACAACAAAAAACCATCCCACAACCTGACTTGTCAACAAAAACTAGCATGTCTTTTTAAAAACACAGGGGAAAAAAAAAAAGCAGGGTTTTAAAATTATGACAGATCTCACTGAATACTGATTTTTGTCTTTAAAAACCAACATGCTAATGGGAGTAAGGGTCTCCATTGCTTTTGTGTCAGACAAGAAATGCATACTTGGTAGTACCCTATATCACCAGGTCTGAAAATACAGCTCTGCAGATATTATTTTGAAACTATCGATTTAAATCATAACAATATTATATTCAGCCTTTGACTAGGAACAGCTATTCGAAGAAAGGTACTAGTTAAAACTAAGACTACTCAAAGGTATCAGGAAAAATATGTTTCATCAATGCAATTTAGGGTTTTTTGGTTTTCTTTTTTAACTGAAGCACTTTAAATGACTGGTTCTTTGTCTTAACTTGATGCAATCTGCAGCAGCTATTACGTGTTTGTTGGAAAGGTGTCTCATTCACTTACACTATCCACAAATCCTAAAGGTCACTTCCTCAATCTTACTAGAGTTATGTATATAATGGCTTTAAAGTTTTGTCCTCTGCCTTCTTCCAAATGCTTCTTCCCACACTTAGATGCTACCTGAAAACAAGTGTTTGAGTGCAATGTAAGTATGGAATGAGAATTAATAAAACCCCAACAGCACAGGCAGGTACAGTAAATTTGTATTACACTTACAGCTACTGTGAACAGAAAACTTTGCCCTGGAATACTCAGTTCATCTGACTTCACCGTAACAAACTGCATTTGCATATGATTATGTATGCCTGGTCATCAAGCCAGCAGCTTAAGGCTGAAGAAGAGGAGATTATAAAGAAAGCCACGCTACGATATCAGTACTGTTACACAAGAACTTAATTTCAGTGATAGCACTGAGCCACTGCCTCTCTTTCCTCCTTTCAAAGTCACAGTGACAACCACCCTCCTCCATCTTCATTATTCTAACAAGTACTCTTCCTCGAGGGGGGAGGAGGGGAGGAAATAAATACCACCACGTAAGACAGAACATGGTTCAAAATACACCACCAGCAGCAGGGTGGTGGGAGGAGAAGCTTTCAGTAAGGGAGATGACTGGGAAAAAGCAGGAAGAAGAATCAGTGCTGCACACTTCTACTCCCCGTGGCAAAACAAGCATCGGTTCTGCAGTCCTCATTACACCCCTCCTGGAAAAGGACTCTTACTGTATCCAGGATAAGCTGTGTCCGAAGTTGGCCAACTACTGGTATGAGCAGCAAGTCCTTCACCCCAGGACAGACCCTCTCCATCACTCACACCAAGATCTGTGTAACTGCAGGCTTCTGCCACCTATTCATTTCCACGTGCAGCTATGCAATCATGGATGCACATATGTATTCTGTGATTCTGTGTACAGTGACGTACTGCCCCACTCTAGAGAGCTCACTCAGCAAAGGCACGTTCACAGAAAACATCTACCAATGCACATCATTTGCTGTTTTCTTGATCATAGGTACATTTATGTACCTATGTACACACATTTATGCCAGCTAAAATTCCTGTGTAAAACAGCATGTAAGTTAAACATACAAAAAGAAATTAAGACCTGGGACGATTTTCCTCCTTATCTGTAGAACACTCAAAAGAGCACCTCAACTGTTCAGAGATGGTCCTCCAATCTTGTTATGCAAGACAGAATTGGCAAAGCACGCCTGCCAACAAACCAAAGCAGCTTAGCAAGCTTCACACTCTGTAAAACAACATTTTACTGCGCCTTAGAGTGCACTGATACAGTCAATGAGTATCACGGATGGTACAATCTACATTTAAACAGAGCTTTGAGCCTCTGTTTACCCTTCCCCAAGCAAGATTTATTACAGAGAAATATAAAGTTACCCACAGAAAGCTGGGCACTTTCTGACTGAACAGTGGGGTCATGTTCAGGTTTAGCACCTGCCTAGGAGTACGAAGGATGGTATGGGGATGGCTGGTGGTTGCAGGCTGCACCTGAAGAGAGCTATAAACGGCCGTGAACACGGTGGAGCTGCTCAGAGATGAACCCTTGGCTTCTCCACCGTTTACCGGCGGCTGGCACAGAGAGGGCACCTGAGCAGCCCCGCCGCAGGCCCACACAACAACCCAATCCTCGGGGATCCCCTCCGCAGGCCGGTACCGGGACCGACACCCCGGGCTCCTCCCCGCCCAGCCCGACCTGCTCCGCGGACGCTCGCCCTGCGGTGCCCGCCCGGTCCCACCGCATCCCTCAAGCCGCCGCTGAGGAAAGCCCAGGGGCCGCGGGCCGGGCAGCGCGGGGTACGGCGGCCTGCGGGGAGCGCGGGGCCCGCCGCTCGCCTCACGGAGGAGGCGGGCGGGCGATGGGCGCCAGGATCTCCGCGCTGCGGAGGGAAAGCCCGTCTTGCGGGGCCGGGGCCCGGGTCCCGCCGCCACGCGGCTCCCGGGACCGCCGGGAAAGGGCAGAGGCGCCACCGCCCGCGGGAGGGCCGGGCCGCGCCGCGCCCAGCGCCTCCCGCTGACTCCCGGCCCCGGCGGCATCGCCTACCCGGCACCACCAACGCCGGCCGCCCCTCAGCCCCACTGCACGGCACCGCCGGGCGCCGGCCCGGAGCCTCTCCCGCCCTACGGCCCCTCCCTGGGCCCACCCGCCGCCCCTGCTCCAGTACCCGCTCCGTGAGGCGCGGGCAGGGCCCAAGGCCGC